AATTTTTAATATTTATTTTTTAGTTCTCGGCGGACACAAAATCTTTGTTGGTATGTGGTGCTGAGGATCGAACCTGGGCCGCACGCATGCCAGGCGAGCACGCTACCGCTTGAGCCACACCTCCAGCCCCGTTGCTAGGCTTTTGATGGTGTCTTCAATTTCATTACTTGAAATTGATCTGTTTAAATTTTTTAATATCCTCCTGATTCAATTTGTGTAGGTCATATGTCTCTAGGAATTTTCAATGTCTTCAAGGTTTTCTAGATTATTGGAGTACAAATTTTCAAAATAGTTTCTGATTATCCTCTGTATTTTAGTAGTGTCTCTGGTGATATTTCCTTTTTCATCACAGATTTTAATAATTTGAGTTTTTTCCCTCTTTCTTTTGGTTGTCTTAGCTAAGGGATTATTAATTTTGTTTATTCTTTTAAAGAACCAACTTTTTTGTTGATTTTTTGATTTTTTTAAAATCTCAATTTTATTGATTCTGGCTCTTATGTTTGAGCCTGTCTTCTATTGATTTTGGTGTTAATTTATTCTTTTTCTAGAGCCTTGAAGTGTAATGTTAGATTATTTATTTGGTATCTTTCTATTATTTTAATGTATAAGCTCAATGCTATGAACTTTCCTCTTGGAACCACCTTCATAGTGTCCTAGAAATTTTGATTTCTATCACTGTTCTTCCTTACCTCTAAGTATTTTTAAAATTCAACCCCTGATTTCTTTTGCTATTCATTCATCACTCAGTAGTGTTTTATTTAGTCCTCCAATGTTAGAGTAATTTCTATTTTTTATCCTATCATTGATTTCTAATTTTATTCCATTATGATCTGTTAGAATACACAGTATTATCTTTATGTTTTATATTTTATAACAGTTGCTTTATGGCCTAAAATATGGTCTGTTTTAGAAAATATTTCATGTGGTACTGAGAAGAAATGTATTTGGTCATTAATGGATGAAATATTCTATGTGTCTGTTAAGCTTAAATTATTAATTGTATTTTCTAGTTCTGTAGCTTCTTTATTTAGTTTTGGTTTCAAAGATCTATCTAGTGATGAGAGAGGTATGCTAATGTCACCCAATATTATTGTGTCATGGTCTTCTTGATTCTTGATATTGAGAAGGGTTTGTTTGATATACATAGATACTTCATTGTTTGGGGCATAAATATTTGCAATTGTTATTTCTTGTTGTTGTATGAATCCCTTAAGTAGTATGAAATGACCTTCATTGTCTCTCCTGATTAACTTTGGCTTGACCTCCACTTTATCTGATATGAGAATAGAAACCCCTCCTTGTTTACAATTTCAATGTGAATGATACGGTTTTTCCCCATCCTTTCACCTTCAGTCTGTTCATGTCTTTTCTTATGCAACGAGTCTCTTGGAGACTGTATAGTAGTGGGTCTTGCTTTTAATCCAATCTCCCAGCATATGTCTTTTGATTGATGAGTTTAGACCATTTTCACTTAATGTTATTATTGAGAGATGATTTTTTATTCCCTGTCACTTTAGTTTCTTTCAACTTTTTAAGTTGATTTAGATTTTACTTTGACTGACTATTTTTCTAGTGTAGTTTCTCCTCTGCTGATTTTCATTTTTTACTTTTCATTTCTTCTTTATGAAATATTTTATTGAGTATGTTTTTAGTACAGGCTTTCTAGTTGTGAATTGTGAAATTAATACACCTCTAGGGCCTGGCAGTGGCCCATCTACACTGGGAGACTGCACCCCAGGAGTTTCTTGGGGCTTTAATTTGTGTTTCCCTGAGGGCTAGTGATGTTGAGTGTCTTTTTATGTGCTTAATTTGCCATTTGTATATCTTCTTTGGTGACATGTCTGTTCAAATCTTCTGCCTTCTCCAAATAGCAAAAAAATGAGTTGTTTTTCTTAGTTATTGAGTTATAAGATTTATTTATGTATTCTGGTTTCCATAAGATATGTTTTATAGAAATTTTCAAGTCTTTGATTTTAAAAAATACTATTAAAAGCTGCAACTAGGGCGTGGGGAGCTGGGTGGGGGCAGGCAGAGACAGGATCCCTGAGTCACAGCTCATGCCACTTAAAATAGGAATCTGCCCATTTTAGGGCTGTACCCCTGGGGGGTCTCTCTTGGTGGTCGTGTAACCTGTGACAGGCAGTCAGCCAACTTGCTCATAGAATGTCCTGTCTTTGAAATCAAAGGGTAGAGATCAATGGATGAGGCGAGGACTCTCGAATTCTTAACCCATTTATGTTAGTTAATTTCGTGTTGCTGTGACCAAAACACCTGGCAAAAACAACTTAGAGGAGGAAATTTAATTTTGGCTCACAGCTCCAGAGGTTTAGTTCATGGCGGGCCGACTCCATTGCTCTGGGCCCAGGACCAGGCAGAGCACTCTGGTGGAAGGGTGTGATGGAGGAACACTGCTCTCCTCCTGGGAGCCAGGGAGCAGAGAAGGGGAGGGGAGGAGGGGCCACGGGAAGATGAACCCTTCCAGGGCACATCCCCAGTGACCCACCTCCTCCAGCAATGCTCTACCTGCCCACGGTCACCACCCAGTCCTTTCCCACTAGGATGCACTGATGAGGTAACAGCTCTCACAATCCCATCATTTTACCTCCGAGTGTTCCTGCATTAACACACGTGCTTCGGGGAACATCTGTATATCCAAACCATAACACCGTATCTTTCCTAAGCAGAAAAACGGGTTGTGGTGGCTAAGCTTGCTGCGTTTAAAGCCTCTTTTGTCTCCTGTAGAATCTGTGGGCAGAGCAGCCTCAGGCCACTGTCTAAACCGGGGCAGCAGCAGAGGCTGGGACTCAAGTGGCCCCTGGGGCTTCCTCCAAGGGTACCCAGGACTGGCCCAGCTCTGGATGATGGAGTATTTTGCCAGCTTCCCCCATCACTGTCCTCAGGGACCTTGCAGCGACATTTTGGTTCTCTGGGGATCAGGTCTGGCTCCGTCTCATCCCTGGTACCCACAGTGCTCTCTGGAGGGTGTGGGTGCTGGGCACCTCATCTTGTTCTGAGCCCGCCTGGCACTCCAGGCAGAGCAGGAGGACCGGGCCAGGCCCTGGGGCTGGCCTCGCCAGCAAAGGGGCACACAGACTGCCCCCTTGACTGACCGAGTCGGGCCCCTCTAAGCCCCCTCTCAGGTCTTCTTCAACCCTGGGCTTCCAATCTGTCCTCGTTGGGGCTGCATCACCAGGTTCCGCACACACCCTTCTTGACGGGTCAGAGAGAATCCCTCACCTGGGGAATCTGATCACCTGCCCTGCCCTCAGCAGGAATCCTGCCACGTCTGTTCACAGAATCCTTCTTTACTCCTGAGGTCTCTTCTTGGTGATTTTCTACCCTTGGGCCACTTGTTCATGTGGAATTCAGACTTGAGCCCAGTACCATACTGAACTCTCTTTGCCCTGTTGCAAAAATCCCCATTTTGGGATCCAGTTTTTACCACTTGAACTTCTGTCAGACTCTGGCTCTCAGAGGGGACCTCCAGTCAGGGTTCAGGGGGGCAGGGAGACGTGGCCCCATGCCCCACGGAGAACCAGAACCCACGGGGCAGCAGAGGGGGAGGCACCCAGGCTGCACTGGGGGTCTGCCAGGGCGGAGGAGCAGGGCCCTGGGCAGGGAGGGCAGTGGCACTGACCAGAGGGCATGGCCAGGGCCAAAGCGGGGGCCTGGCTTGCCCAGTGGACACTGGCCTGGGTGCCCAGGTGTGAGACTCCGTTTTCTGAACGCAGGAGTAGGGAGGCGGGAGCTCAGAGCCCACAGGCGGCGGCCTACCCCGGCCGCTGGAGCATTGCTTCCACCCACTGAGCACTTAGGAGCGTGAGGTGGGGATAAACCGGCAAAGGAGACAAAGGATTGTCCTGGTGGAGCTTAGGTGATGGTGACAATAGACACCAAACACGAAAAACAAGTTACCATGTGTCAGGGCGCCATAAATGGGACAAAAGGACAGCGAGGACAAGGTTCAGAGAGCTGGTAGGGAGCGGTGTCCCCAAGACGGTAATATCTGAGCAATCCTTCAGGATGTAAGAATGAACCATGGGAATGTCCAGGAGGGGAACCTTCTAGACACAGGGAGCCACTGATGTAAAGGACCTTGAGACACGAGTGGCCTGGTGCTTCCAGGAACAGTGAGGGGCCAGGAGGTGGGAGAGAGGACAGCAGGAAGAAGGGAGGGCGCCCGTCTAGCGGGCCCTGGGTGCTGGTGGGGAAGGCCTGGGTGGAGCAGGCTCAGTCTGGCTGCTGTGGGGAGGGGAATAGGCCTTGGGGTTGGGGGTTGGGAGAGGCTGTTGGGCTGAGGGCCGGACAGGGCAGGAGCAGTGAGACCAGGGAGACCACGGCAAATCAGGGCATTGGTTTACCTGTGCAGGTGAGGAACAGTGGTCAATTCCAACTCAGAGGTGGGGCCCGCAGACATGGCCAAGCTCTCGGGCAGCCTGTGACTGCTGGCCAGGGGATATGAGTCCCAGAAAATATTACAGGATTATTGACTGTGGATTATATTAACTAGTGTGTGCGTTAGATAAGACTGCAAGCATTGTGTCCACGATGGAATGTCAACTGCAAAACTTAAGATAAACTGCAGAACTTAGACTTCAGTTAGGGATGTAGGAGTCTACACCCGGGCGTACACCCCAGGGCTCACCAGCAAGCACGACAGCACTGGAACTTCAAAGCCCACCCTTCTGAGAGCCGGTGGGACTAACAGGACCCAGACAGAAAGACCAGACCTCCTTAGCAGTTGTCCCCCGGCACCAGACTCCCCTGGCCCAGATGGAGTTCCAGCGGCCCGGACTTAAGACACGTCACAGGTGAGCGCCTGGGACCCTTGGGTGTAGACTCAGTCAGGACTTACAATCAGGATGTGTCTGAAGTGTGATGAGCATCAATAAAATAGATCTGATTGAATCTAACTGCTCCTCAGACTAAGTCTGTAGCAAGGGCTCGGGACACCAGCTTCCTGCCTCAAGTCTAGATTGTTACCAGGTGAGGAATTTCCACCCTGGGAAGCCGTGAGTGGTGGGGTGGGAAGGAGTAGAAAGAGGCCTCACTGTGAGCGTCTCTGAGAAAAACACGGCCCTCCTTCTCTTTCTCAAAAGGGTTCCCGTGCCCCAAGAACAGAAGTCTCGTCTCAGGATCTGCACCCTCAGGAGCTCCCCTCTGTCTACCCACTGGTGGATGGTCTCCCGGCTGGATTGTGGTTCCCTCTGGGTATCGTCCTGTCTGACCTTTCCTGGGGTCCTTGATTCTGCCCAGTGTGGCAGAAGCAGGTCACCTGTGTCTGAGCTGCAGGATGGGAGCTCCGCTCCAGGGTCCCCCGTGGGGTGGACCCTGGGGCAGCACAGATGGAGGGAAGGGAATCTTCCTCATCTCCTGCCATGGTGAGATGGCTTCACTGAATGCCAGGCACTTGGCTTAAGTTGGGGGATCAATGGCATCTCCTCTCCCCTTCTGAGAAATTCAGATGGCTCCTCTGGGGCTGGGCACCTTCCCTTGCCTGTCAGTGAAAGAAAACCTTGATAGCCCGGGGCTGGGGGCAGGTGTTCTCGCCTAGGGAGGCCTGAGACATGATGTTTGGTGAATCCGACCAGGTCAAAGAATTAAACTGAAGAAAGTGCAGCAGGAGGGCTCCGTCTGCTACAGAGAACCATGACCCTTTCCTGGGGATGAGGAGGGAAATCCACTCTTCAGGGTAAGTGGGTTTTGATTCTAGGTTTTGTAGGACAGAAACTGGGACCTAGGGTGAAGCACCCCATCCCCTTACACACTCCTCCCTCCCTTCATCCCCCGAGAACAGCATTCACTCAACCCGCTCCCCGACTGCCGATCCCCCAGAAGCCTGGACAGGGGGACAGTGAGAAGTGATGCACGTGAGAGGATCTAGGGTGCAGGGCTGAGCTGGCTGTTGGTCATCTCACTGCTGGGCCTGCCACAGGTCCCCAACCTGTTTAAATGAAAAGCGATGGCATAGCCTCCTCCCACCTGCAACACGGATAGCATCTTAGTCACTCCCTTATGCTACTGTGGGGCTTTAAACTCGTGACAAAGGACAGAAGCAATATTTGGTCACATAAGCAAATCCTCACAATCCTAACTGTTGTGCCTAACCACAACGGTTCTGCTCGTGGATCCTGGCCAGCCTAATCTTGGTGGGATCTGCCTCACGTTCTTGGCTGGCTCTCCTGTCTCTGGACGCTCAGTGACAGAGCCATTGAAAGCATCTTTACCCCCTTTACAGCTTTACTGGTACCTGGGTGCGGTGGCACAGCCTGTGATCCCAGAGACTTGGGAGGCTGAGCAGGAGGACCTCAGGTCCCAGGCCAGCCTGGGCAATTTAGTGAGACTCTCAGCAACTTTGCGAGGCCTTGTCCCAAAATAAAAAAGAAAGGCAGAGGATATGGCCCAGTGCAAAGTGCCCCTGAGTTCCATACCCAGTACCCAATTTCTTGCAAGATTTTAATTACCCAGTTACTTTCAGCCTTCACACCGCCCTCTGGTGGTGGGGTTGCACTGTAGTTTTTTTGAAGACGCCCAGGGTACCCGCTACTTGGAACTGAGTTCTGTGCCTGCCTGAGAGAGAAGGAAAACCTCTTCTATGCCTGCTTCTCTGTGCCTTCTCCAAACAGCTGAGATCCAGGCCAGGAGGGTGCAGGGTAAACTGCTCAGAAGAGCTGGAAGCCGGGATGGTGTTGATATTAGGCGTTGGCTCTGAAGAGAAACTGAGTCAAGATCAGGTACAGAAACACCACATCTGACCTGTGGGTTATCTGGGAAAATGTAGTAAATCAGTATGTGAGGCGCTTGCCTCCCGCCACCCACTTGCTGTGCTGGTTGGGGCCAATCTTCTGCCTTCTTAGGAGGAGGGGATTCAGCTCCCACAGGTGTTAGTATATATTGGAGGACCTCCAGTTCTCTCTGCTGCTAAGTACCAAGATATGCCCGTTAACCTCATTGCACACCTTTTGCTGGCTTCCAGAACCCCCACTTGAGGGCAGAAAGACCAGGCTTTAATAGCCCCCCACCAGGGCTGTCCCTGTGCCAGTGTATCTTAGTTGTGATCTTTTCCAGTGGGGTACCATGCTCCCAAAGGAGTCCTGTGCTGGAGGACTTCACTGGTAGTGTTCCTTTTCCAGATGGCTCCAGAGATGCAAGATGCAGAGGTGCACTTGAGAGCAGGGAGAGGTGGACAAGACCATGGCTACTTGGATTCCATCGCTTTGCCTGTCACACCAGTGATGTGAATGTTAAAACCAACAGTGTCTATGCTTTTTCTTTTCTTTTCTTTTTTAGGCACAATGACAGAAGGGAGAGCTGGGACTCCTGCAGCTCACACACCCAATTTTGGGAGGAGAGGAATTACATGGGATGGAGGGGGAGGAGTCCAGGACTCACGGGGCTCACCAGCTACAGACTCCCATAACCACCCTGGACATGAGCTTGCTCTGCAGGGCCTGAACTTGGAGCACATCTGAGAAACAGAGTCAGCTCAGATGCTGGTGGCCAACGAGGTCTGCCCCTCCCACAGCTCAGCTGCACTTGGTCAGCAGACAGTGACTTTCTGGCTCCTAAGTGCATTTTCCAAGGTGGGATTTCTGATATCAGCTGGAGGGGTACATTTTGCATATAACTCCTCCAGATACACCCAATAAGAAAGTGTTCTCAGCCTTGGCCCTCTCCTGCAGGGAGCCATTTTACAGTCATTTAAAGACTCCTGCGTCTTGGGAGGAGGCAGTCCTGAGCTGAGGTGGGCTCTCCCAGGTGCTGGCTTGCAGTAGGGAGGGCAGGAGTGGAAGGCAGCTGGAGCAGGAGGAGAGAGGCCCCCCACCCGGGGGAAGGGCTGCAGCCAGGCCCTTGGGAGGGACAGTTGGCATTGTCTGCAGGGAGTCACCAACACTGGATTCATAAAGAGTTTTAAGGTGTAGAAGTTGGGTGCCAGCAAGGGTGAGGCCTGAGCAGGGAGACCCAGAGGGAGGACCTGAGCCCGTAGCTCGGGGGAGCTAAGCAGAATAAGAAAGCTAGCAAGGGAGGAAAAGCCTGGAAACCCGGAGTGGCAGCAACCAAAGGAAGCCAACGGGAGAGAAGGTCCCAGGGACGGGCTCTCGGTTGTCATGGCAACTGAACTGCTAGTGACTGAAACTTCCAACCCAGAAGGAATAAATGGCTCTTTAGTTCCCCCACCCACCCTGTCACCAGGTATAGAGCAGCCCAGGGCCAGAAGTCGATGACCGATAGCTAGATAGACCTGGATCAGCTGACCAAGGCCGGAATAGAAGGCAGGGTCACAGATGAATATTTGTTAGTCAGCTCTTTGTCCAAAATACCTGCTAACAATAACTTAAAGGAGGAAAGATGCATTTTGGCCGGCAGTCTTTTGCCTAAAAGCCCCATCTCTGAACCTTGTTGTTTGGGGGGTCATGATTTCAACCCAAGCATTTCAGGAAGAATCTGGATGCAAACCACTACAGGACACAGGATCTTTTAACCCCCGGCAGGCTGGCGCACTGGTGAAACGCACTTGGATTACACTAGGAAGGCCAATCTTGGCTGTGCCTCTCAGGGACTTGGAATCTGAACCCAACCTGATGGAATCTTCTCCAGGATGTGCATTCACCCGCTGAGCCCCCTGAGGCAGCCTTCAGAGGGGCAGTCTTTGTGGTCAGATTTGCCATCTTCCCATATAATGAAGGGAATTCTATTATATTGCATGCTTTTCTGAGTCAGTGCTCCAATTGCCCCTGCTCTTTCCTGGATCTGTGCCATGGTCACACTATTGGGGACACACTGGGAGTTAGGACCCAAGGGGACTTCCATACACTTTCTGCTTGTTGGTCTGTGACCTCAGCTACCCCGTGGAAACTCCAACCCACTCCTCCCATGCCTTACTGGGAGGCCAGGAGCAGCTGCGGCAGATTCTGCCTCGCTATGGGGTGGGGGTGAGGGTCCGAGGTCATCATCTCCATCCACATTCTTTTAAATAAAGGAAGGGAAGTCAGAGGCACACGTGGGGACAACTTAGTTAATTCCACTACTTTCCTACTATTGTCTTGAGAAAAATGTTGAGCAAAGTTTATGTCCCTTGAGTCTTGGTGAATAGACAGCAAGTAGCATTATTAAAATGCTAAAGCTTCTTTAGGTTTAAAATGTTGACCATCAAATTACAATTGCATTAAGTTATGTTTAAGTCTCATAATAAAGGTATAAGGAGAGTAATAATTTGGGGGTCATTCCCCCACAAATGATGATCAGGAAGGACTGAGAAAAGATAGCACATGGAGAATACATGTTCTTAAAAGTGAGCCTAGGGAAAAAAAAACTGCATCAGTAAGGTTTAATGAAGCAGAATAAAAGGAACTACATGTGTACTGAAAGGGCTTAGGGTACCCAAGCAAGACAAATGAAAAGAACATTACATGAAAACCTAGTCTGGCAAAAAGAACGAATATAGAACTAACTATAGGGACATTCAGGGAAACCTCATTAGCATCCACATACTAACAAAGGAATAGGATTGTGGGTAAGGAGTGCTGGACCGTGTGGCCAGGGACAGGCCTGCCTTGGTCCACCCTTGGATAGAACTAAGCTCATTCTCCTGATCCAGTGTGGCTGCCAGTAGGCGGGTCTGAGAGGCCAGTCAAGCGTGCCCTGGCTATCATGTGTAATGCACGGCATTATAAGAGTTAGAAGGTACACTAATAATACAGCTAAAATGTTCTAGATTTTTAAGATCTTTATTTTTTTGTGTGGTTACAGAAACAATAGAGTCATCACAAAATTTTCAACTGTACCAACACAGAAAGCAAATGTATAACACAGAAAGCAAATGTCCCTGTAATCCTACCCTAGAATAACTAATTGATTCTTTCAGATACATTTTTGGCCACAGGCCTAGATAGTCCCATAAACCAGACTCATTATTACCAGCATAATCTTAACTCAAAACTTGTTGGTGGCTTCCCATTCTCTGTTGCTACAATGCAATGCCCCAGACAGAGCAATCTATAAAGAATAAAGGTTTTTTCAGTTCATGGGCATTGAAAATTCAAGATAAGATCAGGGGCCTAATCTGGTAAGTTCAAAGGCCATTCAACATTGACATGGCAAGACAGAGGGTCCTAGCTCAGGTCTCTCCCCTTCTTCTTATACAGCCACAGTCCCACTGGGCGAGGACCCCACCTTTATGGCCCCAGTTAACCTTAATTACCTCCTAGAGGTCATACTTCTACACATCGTGATTGGATCAAGTGTTCACCTCTTACACCTCACAATGGAAACTGGATTTCAACATGAGTTTTCTTGGGGACATTCAAACCACAGCAATACCTAGGAACCCACATATATTTTTTTTAAAAATTCATTCTGAAGATAGATCGGTTTATTTTATGATATTGATGGGGTTTGTGCTCTTCCATAACTTTTTGCTATTACGCTGAGCATCCCTGATTCCCACGGTACTTCCAATCAGCATGGAAAAGATGGTTCATACCACAGATATCACTGCAGGATCAGTGCCTTAAACTCCGAATGAATCCAGCCAAGGGTCAGGCCAGTCTCCCAGGCGAGACAGGAGAGATGGAAAGTTCACACCTAATATGAAGCTCACGAGTGGGACCTGAGCCTGGAGGACGTGGATGAGCTAGTAGAGAAGGTACGAGGAGGAGAGGGTGGTACAGCCATCGCAGGCCTGCCATGCTGCCTGGAGGGGTTTTGCAAAGAAAAGCACAGCTCAGATTCCGACTCCACCCCAGTGCTACAGATAACCAGCACCTACCACTGAGCCATACTTGGTGTTCAGTGAAGGACGGTCGCCCATGAGCCAGATCTTTTTCTAAAACACATGGACATCACCAGCTTTTGTCCTCCCAATTTTCATTTTTTTAAAATATATTTTTGTTGTTGTTGTTGTTGTTGTAGTTGGAACAATACCTTTATTTTATTTATTTATTTTTATGTGGCGATGAGGTTCGAACCCAGGGCCTTACACATGCTAGGCGAGCGCTCTACTGCTGAGCCACCACCCCGCCCCCAATTTTCATTTTGAAGAGTCATTTACTTCCCCACCCAAATCAACTATGAAAGCAGTGGCAGTGTGCTGGCAGCAGGGTGCTAGGGCAGTTGTCCTGAAGTCACCCTGCCCAAGTGAGGGGCGGCTTCGAGCTGGGACACTCAGGGGCTCAGAGTTATTAACAAGGCGACCAGAAATGTGGTAGGAACACCTGCCATTTACTCCTCTCTTGAGGTCTATTCCTGGAGGATAGAAAAGTCCTTCCTGCGAGAGAGAAGGGCTCAATGAATGAGGTTACTGTGGAAGCTAATACTGAGCTTCCTTTTCCTAGGAATCTCTGCGCCTGGACGTCACACTAGATCTCAAACCCAAGGCAGCCAAAGCTCCCTCCCACAATCACTTCTTGTGGGCTGTACTTAGTGATAAAGTCATTTCCCCCTGTTACTTAAATCCAAGTTCCTCTCTCTCAGCTCTTCCTTTCCATTTCCGTTCTTCCTCTCTAGATAAAATCCTTATGATTTCATCTAATAATAATTTTTTTGAGTATTGTGCTGGGTCCTGGGGTCACAAAGACTGGCACCTCTGCAGTTGTTGTGAGCACAGCAACCGTATGCCCTGGAGGTGCAGAGGAGAGATTAGCCACTGAGCCATAGGGTGGCCCAGTGACGGTGGCCTGGAAACACTTCCCGGAGGGTCCAGGTGAGCTGGGCTTTCAGGAGGTGTTTACTGGGCAGAGGACACAGGGAGGCTGTTCAGCATCCGCCTTTGGCTACCCTCTTTCCAATCCATCCAAACTGCCAGACTAAGCTTCTTAGAGCTCCTACCTGTCCCCTGCATTTAAACCCTCACGCTACTTTGCTGGCCTTGAAGGTCTTCCTCATCAGCACCCATCCTAACTTTGTCACTGTAGCTTTTTTCTGTGAGCCCTGAGCTCTTTCTGCTGAATCCTGATGAAATTCTACTCACCCTCCCGAGGTTAAACCCGTCACCTGCCGTCTCTGGTCACTGCAATACTTCCAGCAGCTGACTTAGGGTCTTTCCTTTGCAGTGCACACTCCACTTCCAGTTTTTTGCTTTTCTCCCTTTTCCTTTAATGGCAAATTCTTGGGGTGTGAACCACGCTCCCTCTTCATTCTGAATGCACTTCTCGGAGGAGCCTGGGAAGAAGAGGCAGCCCATTCTGAGATCCACCTTGACCCTCTGAGAATTCGTCCCAGCCTCTGAGCTCCCAATGGTGGTGCTTCCACCTTCCTGGGTCCAGAGGGACTCCTGTGAGCTGGGGCAGGAGCAGGGGAGTCTGGGTTCCCCTTCTCTAAGCTTGAAGGGAGCACTGAGCCTGCGTGCATGTGGAGGGAGTGTGACAGGATTTGCATTGTATGTGACACCTACGTACAGCAGGTTGTAGGTCCTCGGACGACTTCCATGCAGGGTGGAGAGGCCTGATTAACAGAGTGTGATGCGGAAAGCTTTGGAAATTCCTTCACAGGAAGCCTGTCTGTCTCTGCAGCCTGGCCAGCAGGGTCCATGTCCTGAACTGGACATGGTTTGCCCAGGCACTTCTCTTCCCTTCTATCACCGTGGGATCCACAGAACAGAATTACCAAGGAACTCACCTCGCTTCATTTTCTCCTTATATAAAATCCCTTTTGCTGTACCACAGGTCACAGGAAGTTCAGGAGACAGAAAGTCCATGAGGTCATCTTTAGGTTTTTCTGAAAGGAGAAGAGAACGTTTCTGGGTTAGTCTTCCTTCACATTTCCTCTTGAATGCTCCCCGTCCCTGGGATTCCAATAATAATAACAAACAATAATGTAAATGGTATTGGGGAAGCTTCTCTGGTTCAGCCACAGGATGTCCTCCGCTCTGAGTGTCAGACTAGTAAGGTGAACAGTAAATAAACCACCACTACCGCCGCCCCACACTAGTCAGAGCATTTTATAAGAACTTACAGGGCATCCTTTGAATGTGTCTAACTTGCAAGCTAATTGGCCATCGCCCAATGTTCTTTAGCATTCGACAGAATCCTGCTTATCTCTGTGCTGATGGAAGTTCCCATCTAGAATTTTTCTTTGTGATCATGCAGCTGAAGAAAAAGTCTTTGCTCATAAGTTTATTCCTAATTCAAACGAGGATTTGGCTAAGTGAGACGGTGTCCGTTTTCAGTGTTTGCTCTCATTTTTAATTCCATGGCTTCCTGTTTTCTTCTTTTATGAATAAAAAAAACCTCTAGAGAGCTGTGGATTAATTTGCAAATTGCACATGGGGATTTGACAGCTCAGAACCCCCAAGGAGGGATCTTGGATTTGGATTCAAGAGAAGCAGTTGCAAAAGCATTTGAAATAAATGTCAGCAATTCCTGCTCCCTAGCCCTCTGACCTCACTGTGGGGTAATTCTCTGCAGGAGCCGTGTCCGGGGGACAGGGGAAAGGGCTACTCATGCCTTGCCCATGCCTCAGGTTGAGTTATGGAGGAGGCTCCACCTGAAATGAGTCAAAGAGAACAAGTGGCCCAACCCCGGGCTGTTTCACACACTCACTGGAAGAGCCAGAAGAAAACATGAGTAATCGAGGCATTGTGGGAAAAGGAAAGAACAGCATCTTAGTGAAGAATCTGATAGTTACTGGAAAGAGGAGAGACAGGGGGTGGGGAGGGAGGGAGACTGAGAGCAGAGGGCCCCTGAGGAGTGACAGCATGGTCTGCCCAGCCCAAGTGCCCATCCTTGGAGGAGCAGGGTGGCTGCAGGGCTGGGCGTGGGCGTGAGGAAACCTTGCGGGGAGAAGGACTTGGTTTCAACAGTCAGCCACACTCTTCCCGGAAGCAGCGGACTCCCTCATGTGTCTCCAGGCTCCCCTGAAATATGGTGCAGCAGTCACCATATTCAGGCCTGGCCTGGGAGCCAGTCCTGGTGGGCTTGTGATTCTCCTCTGCAGCTCCCAGAAGGGGTTCCTAAGGGTGCTCACTGTTATAGAGTTTGAGTGGGAGATTTTCCGCTTCCAGTTCCCATCTTGGGTGAAAGGCAGAGCTACAAGTGGCCTGGAGTGCAGTCATAAGCCCTGGGGGAAATCAGCACAGCCCTGGGGACCCTCTATAGTTCCCCATCTTCACAGAAATGCCTTCTCCAACTCCCAGAGCTCTAAGGACACAGATGGCCCAGACACAGATGCTCACAGGGGATGAGTGTGGGCAGCGAGTCAACCTGCAGAGCCCTGGTTCAGCTCTCCCTCCCTCGGTGCCTGCTGCAGGAAGCCCCCCAGGGAGTTGGGCCTTTAGGCCTGAGGACTTCAAAGGCACCCACCTACCCGCATGGGCAGCCTCTGGTCAGTTCCCAGGAGTGCTTTTTGGGTCAGCTTCATGTGCCCAGCTCAGCAAACAGGCCCAGGGAGGGGGGGGGCTCCAACAACACCTGCCCCTTCTCTAAGGGGAACTTGGATCACCATTAGCAAGTGTGAGCACACAGCTGGGAGCCTGGGGGAAGCAATTCAAGAGCAAAGGAGGGTGGAAACAAAGAAGAGCAGGTAGGAAATGAACAGAAAGCCCAGAGAGGCCGGGCAGCAGGATGGAAAAACCCTAATTGGCAAGCCGAAGACTAATTCCTGGAAATCTCAGAGAAAAACCCGAGGTGAAAATTATGCATGGAAAGATGAGAGGCCTGGGAAGGACGGGAGCTGTGTGACCAGGCGTGAGGGGGCTGGGAGGAGCGGGAGATGGGCGACTGGAAAAGTACTGGTCAAGGGGATAGACGGGCAGCCCACACTGTCCTCACACAACGGGTGAGAGAGGAGGCGACCACTGTCCTCAGATCTGGGGAGAGCTCCTGGTGGCCCACAGTGTAGGAGGTAGCCTGGGAATGGAACTCAGAGGTGCCCGATTCCCTGTCATGGCCAACAACAGGCACACCGTTAAATTAGAAGATACCAGGTGACGAGGCTAAGTGAAGACTGCTTCACTTAGTGACCTCCTGTGACTTACACAATGAATTACAGCTGGGGCGAGAGCCAGGCAGAAGAGAAACAGGTCTCCGAGGGGCGTGGCGGGAACCCACCCCGCCAGCTGGGACAGGGCAGTTGGGATCTTTGAGGGAGGAAGTGAGGGTGCAGGGCAGAGAGGGGGAGAGGGTGAGCGGGATTTGTCTTGGGGGTGAGTACAAGGGACATGAGAGGGGTCCTGGGGGAGGCAGGAGGTGAAGCGCTTGGTGCCCAACCCGCCAACATTGTGAGAAATCTGGTGTGGTCCTTAGGAAAGGAAAATTACAGCCCTACGGAAAACGGCAAGCTCAAAGTGGTCACAGATAGAAAGTGTGAGAGAAGCCATTTTCATAATTCATACATATGTGTATATATTTTGTATAGACTTACAGATCCTATGTAGAAAGGGCTCCCGTCCCCCATGTTTTTGGTACTGGGGATTGAACCTAGGGATGCTTCACCACTGAAATACATCCTCAGTCCTTTTCATTTTGAAGCAGGATCTCCCTAAATTGCCAAGAGTTTCACTAAGTTGCCGAGGCTGGCCTCAAACTTGCAATCCTCCCGCCTCAGTCTCCCGAGCTGCTGCGATTACAACTGAGTGTCACTGCCACTGTGCCTGGTTCTAGAAAGGGCTTTTAAAGGAAGAAGGACATGGCATAAAGCAGCGGCTTCCAATCTGGGCCGATTTTGGCTCCCCACCCCCACCCTTTTCATGAGGAAATCAGGCAACATTTAGACTCTTTTTGTTTGTCAGGACAAGGATCAGGTGCTTCTGGTGTCCAGCAGGTAGGGGCAGGGACATTGCTGGGCATTCCTTGATGCACAGGGCTGCCTTATTATGGACAGTTATCTGGCCCCATATGTCAGGGGCTGCCAAGGTTGAGAGACTGTCATTGGCCACACTGCTAAAGATAAACCGACTGGCCTGTGTACATTAATAATAAAAACATCTCCACCACCAAAAGTTTCTCTAGTAAAAGACGAAAAGCAAGACAAATTATAACATGTGCTACAATGGACTAATTTCTTTAACTGATTAAAGCTTGAAATGAATAGTCCTATTAAAAAAAAATAGTAACTGTAAACAGATGATGCTCAAAAGAAAAAACTCTGACGAATTTATTTTTTTAAAAAAAATAGGTCAATTAGTGAAGACGGGCTGGATAATGGCACAGTAATTCCTAAATCTCAATAAATTATTATAGAAATCAGAAAATGACAGCGTGGGGGCCAAACTGGCCTCCCACCAGTAAGTTTTCATTGGAAGCTGGCCACACCCATCTGCCTGCACATCTCTGGCTGTTTACACCCCACCAAGGCAGAGCTGAGTGTGTGTGATGGAGACGGCTTGGTCATTTGGCCCTATGGGGAAAAAAGTTTGCCACCTGCTTGCTGTTTTTCAGCAGCAAAGCTTTCCTTCTCTCCTGCGCTCCCTGATCATCACAGATGAGAGGGAGCTCAGCCCTGCGTCACGGACGCTCCAGGCTCCTGGCCACAGAGCAACCTCTGTCCAAAGATGGCTGACCTCCGGTGGAGAGAAAGGGGCAGGCAGCTCTCCAAGTGGAAGTGACCCTCTCACTTTGGTCTGCATATCACTGGCCAAGTCAGGGCCAGGACATCCGGAGTTCACAGGCTGGGTGTCTCACCTCTAGAGGCTGCTGGGGCTGGGGAAGACTGTGGACCCCAGTATCTATGGCACATTTAGCCACTGGCACAGCAGGAGGAAACTCAGGAACAGCCAGTGGGTTATTGTTCTGAGCTTTCAGGTTTGGAAAACAGAAAAGTCTTATTATTTGTAAAGGTGCAGGGTCAAGGGTATCTCCATGAGGTCAACGGAAGTGTGAACAATTTGGGTCCTAGGATGATCAACATGTGTTAATTTAGAATATGAAGACTTGTTGGCTAAGTGATTTCGCTTCTAGAAGTGAACCATTAGGAAATCATCCTGTGAACGTAGCCATCCCGAGGCGGGTGGCCCTCCAACAGTGGTGAGTGGGAATCAGAAAGGAGTTTCTCACACTGGGTGGGGTACTGGTGACCCCACCAGTCAAAACGAGATCAGTGGGCTACGGGTCGGCTGCAAAGCCGAGGTGAGGGGCACCAGACGACACACGTAGACACACGTACCGGTCCCGACAACCACTCACGCCAACATCCTTGCCGTCCTTTCCTTGTGGTCCTCTCCCCTGACCTGCCCTCCCCCTCCTTCCCTCCCTGCACCTGCTCCAGGACAGCCATTCCTTCCCCAGACTTACGGTCCTGTCTGGATGCCCGGGCACGTGTGATCCTAGCCTTCTGGGCCCTTGTCACCACCCTGGGGCTGCAGGTTGAGTGATCCTTCCTCCGAGTCTCCTGATCCAGCTTTGGGAGCTTCTTTTCATCTCTGTGCCCAGGTGAGGCAGCCTCTGGACCAAGAGGTGATTTGTGATTGGGGTCCACAGAGAGCTGCCCCTTCCCCTCCCTAGTGACCTGCCTTCCTGCCCTTCTCCTGCTGCCCCGGGTTCCTAGGTTAAGTCTCAAAGTGCCAGGAAAGCTGCAAATTCACAGGTGCCGAGAGATGACGTCCAGAACGTGGAGACATCTGTAGGCTATAAACGTCAAAGACGGCAGCTTCTCTGTCCTCTGGAAATACCACCAGGTCAGGGTGGGGACCAGGATCCTGTCCATCTTATCTCAAAGTAGCAAAGTTTCTGTTTTTGGTACCAGGGATTGAACCCGGGGTTATCTACCACGAGCCACATCCCCAGCCCTTTTTTATTTTGAGATAGGATCCAGGGCCTTCAACTTGCAATCCTCCTACCTCAGCCTCCTGAGTCTCTGGGATCACAGGTGTACGCCACCATGCCTGGCTTTTTAATTTTCTAATTCTCCCTTTAGTCGGTAAAAGGATGGTGGTCCCCATCATCATGTACATAAACTAAAACCCACCCCCTTCCATTCTTTGACTGGGGGATGTGATCTGTCACCTGCACTGAAAGCCTCTTGCTCATCTCCAGTCCACTTTGTACACAGCAGCGAACTCGCTCTTGTGAACTTTAAAATCAGGTCAGGTCCCTTGACTGCTGAGAGCTCTTCAATGACACCCCCCCCCCCCGACTGCTTTTGGAATACGATTCAACCCCCTTTCCCAACTACAGGCCTGAAGAGCTCCCCGCGGGTCCCGCCTCCTCTCATTCTGTTACCTCTCGGGCAGCTTTTTTTCTGACGTCTCTTTTTTGGAGTTGACCAGATATTTCTTCTTATTTTTCTTCCTAAAAAAGAAAAGATAAAGAATCTTTTATGGTTACACATACAGATCTGCCGGCCTTACAGGTCAGCGAGACTCAGTGTTTACTTCTGGTCTGGACACCACAGTGGCCAGGGCGTCATTGGTGGCCTTAGGGGATACTGCTTAATGGAGAAGTGGGGTTAGAAGAGGCTCTCATGAGAGGAAAGAAAGGAAAGAGAGAAGAGAAAGGAAACGGAGATGAGAGGCCGAGGCCAGACATTTCTAGAAATGAAGGGGAAGCTGTGGAGGCAGCCGAAGCTCCTCTGCTGAGCCACGCTAGGCCCGAGCACTGCCGCAGAGGGCCCTGGTGTGAGAGAGATCTGAACACCCACAGAGCAAGGGACGGGATACTGGGAGGAGGGGAGGACTGCAGGGCAGAGGGTGGCCGTCAGGGGGTCTCCTCTGCTACTGTAACAGGGAGTGTCACGTGAGAAGCTGCAAAAGACAGTGCAGGGCTAGAAAGGACAGTGGCAGGAAGAGGACCTGCCGGCAGAGTGAGGTCATTTACACAGGAAGACGCAGCAGGGGCACTTGGCCAGGCCTGTGACTGTCCAGCAGCACCCTCTCTCAGATGCCGTGTGCAGAAGCAGATAAGAAAGTTCTTTGGAGACTGGCCAGGGAAAAGACAGAGAGGCAGGGCAGGTTAGGAAGACGGCAACGGGCTATGAGGTGGTGGACCTCGGACTCCAAGCCGGTGAGGGGGTGAGGGAAGGCCAGTGGACAGGTCATTCAAAAGCACTGAAGGACAGCTGCAGAGGGGACACATTGTGAGGAAGAAAACAGAGGGACGTTGTTAAATTTATTATTATTCTAGTACTGGGCTGAGAAGGAGAGATCGGAAGTTGAAGGACAGTTGTAGAAAACTTGAAGAACAGGTATCAGAAGAGGAATGTTTAATTACTGGGAAATCAGGCTGTCTGGGTGATGGTAAGGCCTGTGGATTGCTCTGGGCACAGGCAGCCAAGAATTTGTAGAGGAAAAAGTCACTGGAAATGAGCAGATGACGGGCTGAGAGGCCAGAGTACTGGACGGCCCCTCTGCTGTCTTCATGGGTCCTGCAGGCATCCAGGACTAAGGTGGGACCTGAGGTGACAGAAATGCAGCCTCAGGCCAACTAAGGAGGGACGGGAAGCCAACAGATGAGAGGGCTGGAGAGAAGGGTGTTTTAATTGAATGGCTGAGCCTCAAAGGAGAGGATGGGGAGCAAGAGACTGGATAGGGTCGAGGGTGGCGAGGTGTGGACCACAGGTGTGGGTGACGGATGGCAGAGAATGGCTGGCTGTTCAGGAGAAGCAACCTTCAGCTCAAGAAATTGGTGTGACTAACATGCTAAGAAACTGTGGATACAGGCCTCGGAGGGCTTCGGAACAGGCGATTCTGACAGTTGCTTATTTCCACGTGTCTAAATGCCTTCTGGTTTGTCACAGTTTCTAGAAAGGCCTTTGAGGAAGGTGGAGTCTCGGCCATCAGGACCAGGGACACATAGTGGTTGCTTTTGACAAGATGTGATCAGAACCACAGAGAGCAACTCCAAATTCACTCTCTTGACATCTAAAGAGGAAGGAAATCCTTACCTTTCTTCTTTGGAGGTGTGCTAGGTGCCTCGTGGGGCTCCTCTGGGTCATTTGACTCTGGAGAATTCTCTGTCACCACTGACAAAAGACACAAAATTCCTCTCAGAGCTCAGAAGAGGCGGAAGAGAAAGTGCCCAGGGGAGTCGAAGGGAGAGAGGGCATGCCCTGCAGGCCTCGGAACCTGCAGGCCGGAGGGTTCTTCCTTGACTGTGCCAACTCGGACCCACTTACAGACGATCCTTCTCTGGGAGGAAGCGAAGGACAAGGCTCAGCAGCCCTTGCTCAGGGAACTCAGCTGAGAGTGAAGGGAATGGGTGACCTTGAATTCTGAAGGCCACAGGAACATATTATTGCTGAGGTGTCAGCATATGGATATTCACTCACTGCTCTACCTGTGACCATGTCACCTTGAGAAACAGTGGAGGAGGCTGAGGGCTCAGGGCACAGTTGTAGAGGAGGACTGTTGGAAAAGGTAGGGGCGGGCAGTACTGCTAGCACCTACTCACAGCAAATATGAACCGCGTTCTGCTGGTTTTGCTGAGGACTTGAAATAGAATAAATAAAGGTCCATCCCACGTAGGGACGCCACTTTCTTCTTTGCTACACAATCCTAGGAGATCTGTCTCCAATTCTGCCTACATAGCAGCCGGTGACTGTGTGGATAAGCAACTGTTGAACTTTTGAGACAATTTACTACTTTTCACATTGCTTTAGTAATATCTGCTTTCAAAAATCCAAATGATACAAAAATGACTAGGGTTGAGGGTGGGAGTTCCCCACAGTCAGCGTGAGTGAGGGCAAGGCGGGTCCATCTGCATTGCCCTTCCACTCACCATTCAGGCTACCCGTGTTTTTCTGCTTGCTCTGCATCTCAGCAGGGCAGTTTTGAGCATTCCCTAATAAGAGTGGCTCTGCCTGTTCTTGTGGCCTTCTCCCCTGCGGTTCCCACTACAATCCCTTGTGGCAGAGGAATGCTCTCCCTTTGCAGATGCCATGTAGTACTTGGAGTCCAAGTTTAGCAGGTATACTGGGGCTTCTGACCTCCATGACTGGTGCCTACCTCTTCCAGACCTGCCTCCAGGCCCTCCCCTGTGACTCTGCCTCCATTCAGGAGCTCCGGTCTCCTGCCTGTCCTAAGCACTGGGTGAGCAGCTGGAATGGGGCCAAGATGGCGGCTCAGAGAAGGACAGCCCCATTCCAAGAAGATGCAAATGGCTTTCCCTCTTGGTACACACAAAAAGGTCCAAATGAGAAGAACCTGGAATAGCACCTGAGGGGGTATGGTCTTCCTTATCTTTTGTTTGAGGGTCTGGTTGTCACTGGAGGACACTGACCAGAGGGAAATAAAAAATTCTAGATTCCAGGACCAGAAAGTGGGGACCAGAGTGAGGAGGTGGAAAGTAATTGATTCCAGCTAGTAAAAATAATGGGTGACCAAGCACCAATGCCCAGGCAAGGGTGGGACAGAGTGAGGAAGTGAACAATTATTCACTCTCAATCAGATGCTTATTAGTGTAATAACAGTATTTTTTCTTTTGAAAATCTTGGAGATGGAATCACCCATTGTTGTGAGCTTCCTGATTATTATGTCAACTTTATCAGGATAGTGCACAGGAAACAGATTTGGATCAAATAGGACCCCTTATTATACTGGTACCAGAGAGCTCAGAACCCACAATATCATTTTTGACAATAACATAATTAATAATAGTACTAGACCACGGTAATATTTAATGTAGCCAATTCCATTATAAAAATGGCTTGGGGAAAACAAGTGACAAAAGTTGAGAAGCTAACTTGGGTCCAACTTATTTTATGATATTTTCTAATAATAATTTCCATAGCATTGTTCTTATAATCCAATCCAAAGAAGAATGGATAAGGCTGACACACAAAGGCAGGTCCGCATACTCGGTGGGGTGAGGGGCCAGGTAAGCATTTCCCACGTGGGTGTTGTGCAAGGTGCGCGTCAATTCAGAAGAGATTTGATTGTTGTTTGGCTTTGCACTGACGTTGGTGAACCACCTGCCCCTTGTCATCCCCAGCTCTTTTGTCCAAGGTTCCTACCATGGCCTCTCAGTTGACAGGTGCCCGCTCTCCCTTCACAGCCCCCTGGAGCTAAGCCAAGTCAGCCCCGGTCAATGTTACCTTGCCCAGCGCCAGGAGGAGTGCTGGGCATCTCTTGGGAGTCTTCTTCCTCGGTTATTTCAGGTGTTAAGTCGTCACTGGCCGCTGAAGAAGGAATAAAAATCATAGGTTACAGGGACTAGGTGTCAGGGAGGACACTGAATGACCAAAATGCCCAGGATAGATGGAGCACCAAGGCCCAGGGGCTTTGGAAAGTTGGGATGTCCAGGAACGGGAAGCAGGTGTCCTGGGCTCCAGGGCCCATCGTGCCCCCTGGCGGAGCTTGGGATCCTTTTTGGAAAGGTCTGTGTGGGCAGAGGGGTGCATGGAAAGGACCAGATGGTCTATAAGGGCAGGACCCTGGGATCTAGCCCCACGGCATGTGTGGGCTAGGCTGGGGATACAAGGGTGCTGGGCAGGGTCTGCTTCTCACCTGGAGTGCTTCTTCCTTCCTGGATTAGGTCAGGGGGAGGCGTGGCAGGCTCAGAGGTGCTGGGCAGTTCATCCAGGGTCACGTGGATTTGCTGCAAGGCTGCTCTGGGCTCACTGACTCTGGGCGCACAGGACAGATGACTCAGTGAGGGAGGGTGAGGCGGGATCAGCGGCAGCAGCGTGTACCTTTCTGCTGGGGCTTTGAGTGGCAGGACTGTGGTTCTGCTCCTCTGTCCATAGGAAGCACCCACTGGGATTGATGAAGGAGAACACATCAGGACCCAAAGTATCTAAGGAATGGGATTTCTTTCTTTTTTCTTGGTGTTGAGGATTGAACCTGAGGCCTGGAGCATTTGGGGCAAGTGGTTCTACTGTGGAGCTTCAGGCCCAGCCCAGGATATTTCTTAATATACAATCTCCAAGAGGACGGGGACATGGAGTTATTCATTCCCTGCAAGGACTTAGAACGAATTTGTGGTCCTATCTGTCCATCTGTGCTCCTTTCTATTTATTGATGTGGGCATTACTTTTTATCATCACTGCATCTAACCCCTGATCTGCCCCCAAAATGGTTTCACATGTAAAGTTGAGTTTGACTTTGTACCCAGGGATTTAACTTTCTTTAATTTTGGTTTTGTAGAATTTAGTCAATGATATAAATGCCATAATTTTAACAGAAGTCTCTGTTTATTAATAAACATACTTCCCTAGAGCAAATTAAGATACAATGAAAATTCCTTAGCAAGGTGGATCAAAATATTTATATTCTGGTTTCTGCTCATTTCTGCAGATTCGGCACCTGACCACGTGGCCACACCACATTTTCCCTCCTGACCCCACCAGCCCAGGCCCTCGGCATCCCCCACGCTGTTCCTCTGAACGGCTTGGGATGGGTTTTGTTACAATCTTCTCCATTATTTATTTCAGAAGCCAAAGGATCTCAACCAGTGGACAGAAAAAGGAATCCATTTTCAAAAGGGACCCAGAACAAAATCAGAGAGGAGCAGATGCAGGAGGACGTGGATCCCAGCCCAGGCACGTGGCTCTCGGGCTCTCAGAGGGGCCAGGGGGAGGGCCCAGGCACAGCTGCACCTGCCTGGAGGACTCTCCCTTTGCCGCCCCCTTAGCTCAAGGCATCCTGTGTCTTTAGGGAGGACTCCCTTGCTGTGAAGTGTCAGGGAGCAGAGGAGTTGTCCACAGCAGGGACTCCACCGAAGGCGATGTCACTATCGAGTGTGACCTGGAGGTCCTTCCCTTGCCAGAACCACACACTTTGGCCAAAACATTTTCCTCCAGCGGACAGTGCTTTTACTACCTGGCCCTCTCGTTCTTGCTTCTTTTTTCGTCCCTGCTCCTTTTTCTTTCCCCTCTGTTTACCCAGTTGCTATGGTTTGGTTGTTAAAGGTCTCTCCAAAGCCCAGGTGTGGAGGATTTGGTCCCCAGCGCTGTGCTTAGGAGGTGGGGCCGAGTGGGAAGTCACTGGGGGTGTGACTCTGGTCTCTCCTCTTTTCCCTTTCTGGCCTGGAGGTGAGTGGCTTTGTCCTGCCTTGCCACAGTCCCAAAGCCACAGGGACTTGATCATGGGTTGGACCCTCCAAAACGGTGAGCAAAATCGACCTTCTCTCTTTATAACTTAATTCCCTCAGGTATTTTTTACCGTGATGGGAGGTGCCCCCCACACAGCTCTCCCTCTCCCAGTGTACTTCATGCTCCAGTCTTCCTCAGACTCTTCGAGATCCTTCCCTCCCTCTCCAGGTACCTTCTTCCTCTCTCAGCCTTACAATATGCCTTCCTGCCGCCTTGTTCAAGTAGTGGTTATGATCTTGAGCCCTGTATCAGGAAACCCACGCTTCTGGCTCTGTTTCTAAACAGAAAGTGGACTCTGAGCTTTGTTTCCTTGTGTGTCAAGAGCAGCTAATAAGGACCTCACAGGGTTTTAAAGATTACACGAGGGGCTGGGAGCGTGGCTCAGCGGTAGAGCGCTGGCCTCGCACGTGCGAGACCCTGGGTTCGATCCTCGGCCACATACAGAAATAAACAAGTGAAATAAAGGTGTTGTGTCCAACTACAACTAAAAAATAAGTATTTTAAAAAAAGATTGCATGAGAGAGTCATGTAAAGTAGGTGGGATACCGCACTAACAAAGAGAGAGACTTCTTATTTTCCATCCCTATCCCTTTCTCTTTCCATCTGACTCTCCTTATCATTCTGTTGGACCTGGTCTCTCTGGCTTTGCATTTCCATCACTTTAGCATTCCTTAGAGATTGTCCAGGATACTGGGCAATCCTCCAAATGCACAGGAAAGGTTAGGCAGAATGGTCCCTCTCCTCTAGAAATTCATCTTAGAGAGTTGGGGACAGAGGCAAGAAGGGCTGCCCTCCAGCCACGCCAAAAGGAAGCCGGGGTTGACATGGAAACAAACCTGAAATTTCAGCATAGCAACCCCTCAAGTGCAAAAAGTATCACATTACCACTTCTGAAGCTCCCGAAAATCTCCGTCAGATTAGGGTATTCACGCAGGTTAATTTGGCTGAACAATGTCAGCAGAAGTGAAAGGTTAAATGTCTTCTCCAGTTGGGTGAGAGTGTTGTACACCACTCTGGACACAGGGACCAAATTTGTACAGGCCTCCAGCGATTCCTTTAAAACATGGAGGGAAGGATGAGTATGGAGGATTCAGAACTGAACGGAGAGTCATTATACGTTTGTGGTTTTCTAAGTGACAGGAAAGCAAGTTTACTCTTTTAAGAAGACATGTGATATAAACTATAGACCCGATCCACTATGGTAAAGAGGTCGCAGCTCCACATGATCACTTCACATATGCTGGGGTGCCTAGTTGTAGGAATAATTTATGCAGCCTTCTTGAAAATGATTCAGTCTTCTTGTGAACCCCACTTTCAGGAACATTGGATGGAAGAGAGAGTTTTAAGGAAGGAAAGAGGAGCCAGAGGGTGCCACTGTGCAATTGATCCTTCAGGGTGCAGGGCGGGGCGAGTGGCGGAGGAGACCCCTCTGAGGAGTGCTGTCTGGCTGTGATCTGAGGGGGGGCTGGAGCCACCCAGGCCGAGCCGGGGACAAGACTGCTCCAGCACGGCTGGCACTTTCCTGGGCCTGGAGCCACTTCTGTCCACATGGCCCTATGTGGACAGCCCTGCCTTATATCAGCAGGGACTGTGAGCAATACCTGAGGATGCAGTGGGTCGATGGCACTCCCCCGACCTCGAGAGAGATGCCCACCTGGAGCCGTGGATGTGAATGAATGTGAACTTGTTTGGAAAGGGGGGCTTTGCAGAATGTAATTAGGCTAAAGATCTTGAGATGACATCATCCTAGATTAGGGTGGGCTCCAGATGCAAGTACCCTTAGAAGAAAGGAAAAGCGAGGAAACACAGAAGAGAGAAGGTGACGCAGAGATGGGAACAGATGGGAGGGATGCGTCCCCAAGGCAGGGAATACTGGGAAGTGCCAACAACCAGCCGTCAGAAGCTAAAACAGAGGCAGGCAGTAGGTTCTTCCAGAGGCTCTGGAAGGAACAACCTTATAGCACCTTCATTCTGGCCTTATGGCCCCCGGAACTGTGACAGAATGGATTTCTGTGGTTTCAAGCCACCTGGTCTGTGGTGATCCACCATGGGGGTGGTCCCCATGGCACTGTCAAAGGAAGGCAGCCCCCAGGACACCCTGTCTTCCAACCGCGCATCCTGCGATCAGGTACGACGTGTTTGCTGGGCCTCCCACACCCCAGAGGCCCTGGTGGTTGGTGGTGTGAGATCTGTTACAGGGTACACTCGGTGGGGGCTGGGCTGCCAAGGGGAAGGTCCACACCACTCACCTTGTACATTTTCTCAGTGATGAAGGACTTGTCTCGGAGGCCTTCAAAGAAGGGAAATGGCTTTTGTATGGCATAGGAAATCTCCAGTTTCCGGCATATGAAATGCTGAAGAAGAGCCTTTTCCATGGCTCACAGTGATCACCCTATGGAGAGAGGCAGAATGAGAAAACGGGGGAAAACCTCCCAGGCGTGCGGGGAGCTGCTCTCTGCATGAAAGAGGCACACAAGACAGACATCCAGGTCCCCAAGGCATCCCTTAGCAGTTCACAAGCAATGTCTGCTTAAGAGACTCAAAGACATAGGGAGGAGAAGGCAGGGCCCAGCAACAATAAAGGCTGAGAGGCTCTGGCTCGACGATGCCCAGATCCCCAAGGGGCCTCCCGTGAACTTGAGGTGGATCACCACAGACCAGGTGTTTCCTGCGCACCACTCTGTTCTAAGGGTTTCATACGCAGTAGCTTCTTGGATCTTCACAAACCCCTGCAAGCTGATGCTCTGATTCCATCCACTTAGCTGTTGAGCACAATGACACAGAAACTCATGAACCTCGCCCTGGGTTGTGCAGCTTGGCAGGGGAAGAACTGAGAACAATCCCAGCTTGCTGGCTGCAGGCTTCTGAGTTGTAGGTCTGTACTCACAGCCACACGGAGCTGGGTTAAACTGGATGGCCTGGGCTCCAGCCTGAGCCGTCAACCAGCCAAGCTCAGGGAACAGGGACCACTTGGAAATGGGTAGATGGAAACCTGATAGTATTTACGAATTCTAATAAGCAGCTCCCAACGTTTTGACATAAGCAGATGAAAAAATAAATAAAACCATGAAGGATGTGAAAGACTGATCAGCAAGGGTGACCTCAGTGGTTTATTTCACCTGACCACTTGCGTCTTACAACAGACACACCTGCCTTGTGCCGTGCCTACGTGACAAGTACAAAACTGACTGTTTATGAATCATGGAAAATACAAATTGTAACAGGCAGAAAATCTGCAGATGACCTTGACAATAGGGAGGTACTAACAAAGACCCAGTCACCTGGAGATTTTTAAAAGACAAGGCAACATGGCACTACTTTCTCCAGCTTCATTTGTGACAGTGGCACATTCAATGCTTCTACTCCCATTGAAATTTGGCAAAAAAAAAAAAAAAAAAAAAAAGACAAAAAAAGAATAATCCGGGGCTAGGGTTGTAGCTCAGTGGTCGAGCACTTGCCTTGCATGCATGAGGCACTGGGTTCCATCCTCAGCACCATATACAAATAAATAAATACATAAAACAAAAATATTAATAATAATAATAATAATCCACAACAGCAGTGGTAAAGGAGAACAGATGCGGGCTTCATGAAGAAATCCTAAAAGATAGAGAACGGTGTGCACAGGGAGGAGAGAGTGTAAGGGTGAGTGCAGAGTCAATGGGAGCCAGAGGGAGGCCACCCCCACACCAACCACGGGCTTCACTTAGGACCCTTCATCATACAACAGCATTCCAAATAGGACCTCACCAAACTCCTCCTTCCTCATCCTGAAAGATGAGAATGAGGCAGGTTAAGTAACCAGCCCAAGGCATCCAGGGGCAAAGCAGGCTTTATCTGACTCTTTATTTCCTGTTTGCTCACTATGAAAGATGCCACATCTCTGGGCTGGGGATGTGGCTCAAGCGGTAGCGCGCTCGCCTGGCATGCGTGCAGCCCGGGTTCGATCCTCAGCACCACAAACAAACAAAGATGTTGTGTCCGCCAAAAACTGAAAAATAAACATTGAAATTCTCTCTCTCCTCTCTCTCTCTTAAAAAGAAAAAAGATGCCACATCTCATAGATGACTATGTTCAGATTTTTATTATGTAAAGGGACTTTGCAAATAAGCAAAATACAAACGTCTAAGTGGAAAAAAAAATGAGCACGCAACTAAGAGAAGAATAAGCCACATGTGCAATGATCTGTGAAAAGCTTAACTTGCTAGTCATTAGAAAAATGCACAGAAAGACAATGTGACCGCACATCTGCCTGTCTTGGCCAAGACAGAAAACAACAGCAACAATCCCAGGCACTGGATGGAAATGGAAACAGGCTGAGATCCTCCAAGTGGCTCATTTAGCAACCAGCATCAAATGTCCTAAAATGTGTATTCCTTCAAATTTCCACCTCCAGAAATTTCTGGGGATTGAACTCAGGGGCACTTGACCACTGAGCCACATCTCCAGCCCTATTTTTTATTTTATTTAGAGACAGGGTCTCCCTGAGTTGCTTAGTGCCTCGCAGTTGCTGAGGCTGGCTTTGAACTCATGAGCCTCCTGTCTCAGCCTCCCAACCTCTGGGATTACAGGCTTGGAAATTTATTTCAAGGAAATAATGATGAACATGCTTAAAAAATCTCTATAGAAAGTTCACGACGTGCTAGAGAGGAAATTAAAAGGCCTCTCCTTATTTTCTCTTTCCACCAGTCTCTCTGCTGGTGGCCTGTGGAGCGGATACGCAGGCGGACGCAGGGTCGGGTTGGGGCGATGGCGATCTCGGCTGCACCCTCTGCCACAGGCTGGCCCTCGGGGACGGGAGCTGGGCCGTGGGTCAGCTTCGCGCCACGTCCACGTCTTACCAGTCCCCTGAGAAGCCCGCGTGCCGTCTCCGCCTCTGGAAAACACTCCTTTGCAAACACGAGCCTTAGATTTCAAACCCTTGAGCTCCACCCCGGGGTGGCCCGTCCACCGAGACTGAAGGGCCGCGCGGACAGACAGGCGGACACTTACCCGCGCGGGCCCCTTCCCGGTCGAGGGGCTGGGCCAGCGGGCGCCCGGGAAGCCTGGGAGGACGGCGGGGACCGATGCCAGGCGGAGGAACAGGAAGTGCCTGGGCTGGTGGCGCAGGAAAGGAAAGTGAAAGTGACGAGCGCATCAGGCAGGAAGCGGGGGCCGCGCCGCAGCCTCCCCCACCTCCGGCTCGGACGCCCCCAGGGGGTGGGGAGGAGCTGCTGTCTCCCGGCCCCAAGTGGGAGACCCGGGAGGAGGCCCAGGGGACCAGACCTGGGCCAGGGAACCGGGCATCCACCGCCTGTCCCCTTGGCTACGCACTTGCATTTCCCCGGAATGAATGGCTCCCCCTCGTTCTGCACTTTCTGGGGTGATGAAATGTTCTAAACTGAATGAATTCACTAGACACCGTCAAAACCACACCAACAGCTAAGGAACATGTGCCAGAGATGCCTAGAGTTTATCAGGATAAGACGATGATGTGAGAAAATTGCAAATAAAGGGACGTGAACACCAGCTGGGATCTCGCAGAGGCCGCCCACCTCTGCGCAGTTGGAGGTCCGCAGGCTGAGCCAAGCCAGGAGAGGACTCCACATCAGTGAGGCAAGGAGAGAGCACAAACACACTCGCTCTTCTGCACACCCCCTTTAAAAATTCTTAGTGTGCATGGGCATGGAGATCTGTGAGAAATTTAGCCATCTGCTTGACTCTATTTAAGTCATTAATTTTAAATGCAGTTGACCCAGAAGTCCCTCATTCCAGGACACCTATGAAGCCCTCAGGAAAAAAGATGGGAAATATGATTCTGGGGACTATGGAGACTTGAAACCGAGGAGACCTGCAGGAGAGAGAGCCTGCCATGCTTCCTGTGGAGGTGTGAGCACAATCTGCCGGCCAGGGAGGGACAGAGCAACTGGGCCAGTGCAGTCCGTCCTAGCAGTGGGGACAACGGTGGAAGCCACAGCAAGCCCAGGGTAACAGGAAAGGATGTCTAAGTGCTGCGGGTGCAGGGGGTCCGTGGCGATAGTTAGTGACTGTCTATGTCAGGGTCACACTGCATTTCCCAAGCCCCTCCACTTCACCTGGAAAACCTTTCATGGAGGGAGAGGTCAGCAGCAAGAACTTCCTCCAGACTCGCTTCAGAGATGCACCAGAGATGCAAAAGCACGGGTGAAGGAAAGTGGGGGGGGGGAAAGAATGTCAAAATGTCAGATCAGGCAAAGGTTATATGAGAAAGAGTGAATAAAGATAAAAGATGTTTATTCTAAGCAACACGTGCTCAAGAACACAGTAAGATGGGGAAAACCTTGCCTGTTAATTTCAATGCAAGTGACCTCTATAGTGAGAGCTTATTAAAATTATGTATATTTTTTATTCTGGGGGCGGGTTTCAGGGATTGAACTAAGGGTACTCCATTACTGAGCCACATCCCCAGCCCTAATTTGTATTTTATTTAGAGATACAGCCTCACTGTGTTGCTTAGTACTTTGCTTTTTGCTGAGGCTGGCTTTGAACTCGTGATCCTCCTGCCTCAGCCTCCTGAGCCCCTGGGATTACAGATGTGCTTCACTGTGCGTATAATTCTTCTTAGCTCAATTTTATGGGTATATAAAATGGATCCAACTTAAGCGAACATTGTGATGAATTTTAGCAAATATTGGCACCACCACAATGAAGATGCAGTCCATCTTCAACACACCAGCGTGCTCTCCTGTATCCTTTGCAGAAAATTCCCTCCTCAACTCCAGCAATGGGCAATGGTAGACCATCTGTGACTGCAGATTAGTTCCCCTTTTTTGTACTAAGTTTTACAAAGATGGAAGACTAGGGTGTGCACTTTCTGGTATGTGGCTTTTCTGGCTCATTCTAATACTTTTGAGACTCCTTCCTGCTCTCTAGCTGATGTGCTGGCCACCTCTCGCTCATCCTGTCTGGTTAGTATGATGTCACCAATGTGATCCATCAGTGGCACGTTCTATGGATGTCAGGTGTTCCAGACCTTTTTGAATCTATTATGACAAAAGACAGGTGAGCTAATTGAACCCCAAAACAAAGTCATAATTAATATTCTTCTGTATTGAATATAAAAGCAAACCGTTTGGGATCCTTCTTTCTAAACCAAAAGGAAAGAGAACATCACTGAATCAACAGCCCCACACTGTGCACCTGTGAAAAGAGATGGCTGGGGATCTTCCTGAACTGCCTATCTTCTTGGCCTGCTCCTCCAGTGGCTTATAAATTCTGTGAGTGACCCAATATGCTTCTAAGACGTTGATTTTCTACCCCAGTTAGCCAGAATCAGTTTGGTTACTTGTATCCCAAATCCTGACTGATTCAAAAGTTGGGCACCAGGGTATGAATTGTGAGCAAGGCACCTTTAAAGATTATGTGGTCTCTCTGGGATTGTCACCTGACATAGCTGGACATGAAAGGAAGTGAGCACCCTGTTTGTGTTCACCAACTGGAATTCGGCAGGCTTTGCCTAAAGTCGCAGGTTCTGACTGTGCTGACTCCTGGTTCCATGTGTGGATTCTGGCGCTCTCAGCCACATGGAGAGGAATCTTCCAGGCCAAATGAGAGCTTCAACTTGCCTGTAGGGATTACCACTGACTTGGCCTAAATCTGGGTGGGAGCAAGGAGGCAGGCCGGGGTCTCTTGGCCCCAGGGTCACAGGGAGGTAAAGAGATGGTTCTGCCCACGCTGTCTCAAGCCCCGTCCCGCAGGCACCTTCCGTCTCCCATTTGCCCCCGTCTCAGACCCATTGTTCTACCTGGATTTCTGCTTTTGCTTATTTATTTCATTTGAATTTTGCTCCAATTTCTTTGTCTTTCAACTTTATATCCATGTAGTTGTTTTTGAGAGTTGTTTCAGATCCTTTTCAGAATGAGGGTCAGGTATAGTAAAAAAAACAAATAAACAAACAGAAGAACCCTCCCCACCCCCTGCATAAACAGATGTGTGCCCTGTCTTCCCGCATCTCCTTGTCTTTGAAGGTCTAGATCATCTCAGCTCTGAGCCTCCATCCAGGAGGCTCTCCTCCGCGTTCTGATGAAATGGCTGAAGCTGATGTTCCCAGGCACCCTGGCTGCGGTTGTGAAGTGCCCGTACATACAAGCAACTTAGAATTCCGCTTTGGCCTCTGCTCCAATTCTCTGCATCTGCCTTTGGTTGGAGGAGTGGGAAGAGTCTTTTCCTACCTCTGGGTGCTCTCCAGAGAGGCTGAGAGCTTTCTAATGCCACGAGTCTCTACCTCCAATAACTAAGTCTGACTCCTCCAGTCCAGGCTGGCCAAGGTGACTGGCCAGGCACAGGCCTGAGAGAACATTCTCAAGGCTTCACTTTCCCAGCCACCGTGGCAAGCGGAAGGGGCAAACATGGCATTTGCTTCCCCCATGTGAACCATGCCACCTCATCTCAGGACAACAGTGGTCCCTGGTAGTTGAATGGACTTTCCCACCCTGTCTTTCAGGAACTCCTGGGTTGGCCCGTTCCTCCTCTCCAGGGCACAGGCTAGAGTATTGGTGCTTGGTGCAGCCACTCCACACCGTTGGGCAATTTCACTTTTCTCTTCCCCTTTTGACGCAAACCCCAAGGGATGGAGGGGTTGACCAATTGGTAGGGTTCTCCTTTGATCTCTGGGATGGCACAGAGGTAGTGGAAACCTAACCCGGCTGCGGCTAAGCCAAGCGCACGGCCCAGGGGCCAGCAGTAGGGACGGCAGACGTGGACCCAGAGTCTCAGTTTCAGGTAAGTCCCAGCCTCCTCTCCTTGCCCTGGTATGTGATAAGGTCACCTCTGCATTTGTTACGTATGTCTCCCCAGCCCATTCCACAGGTCGACAAGAGAACAAGACCACAAGAGATAAAACCTAGGAAAGCAGATGTTGATGGCAGTGGGTTGGCTCTTGGGGGAACTAAAAGCCACTCAAAGTCACATGGCTGGGCTGGGGCTGCTAGAACTTCAAGGTCCCTCCTAAAGGTTCCTTGTGACCTCTGCACTTTCATCTGCCTCAGCTTTCCTTATCCCCACCCAACAGACAACTCTGTCCCCTACAAAAAAAGTCTTTTTAGAAAAATTAGAATCCAAATTAAATGCCTATTTGTTGTTCAGCTTTTTCTAGCCTGCAAAGTTGGGGGACAGTTCTGCTCTGGGTGGCCATGAGCCCTTGGAGTCCGTGCAGGATCTTTAAACCCTTGATTGGGGGAATCAGAAGTCGATGAGCCCCAACAACCAATGGGAGTAGGTGGGGAGAGTGTTGCTTGTTGTTGTTTTTAACGAGACTCTGTTACACGTCTGGCTGGAGAAGGATAAAAATGATCTTTTAATCACACAAGACAAATACAGTAATATAGTCTTGTTGATAGAAACTAAAGCAGTGTAAAAGTGTATGGAAAATCCTCTAACTGGGACTCTCTGCCAAGGTACTTCTGACACTGTGAAACCACAAGGAAAAAAAAAATCATTTCCTCTTTAAATATTTGATAGAATCCTGTAGTGATAATATCTGGGACTAGAATTTCTCTTTTAGAGGGCTATTCATTACTGATTCGATTTATTTAATAGACAGAATCCTGTTCATATGGTCTAACACTCCTTTGTGAGTTTTGGTAGTTCATGACTTCAGGAATTTGTTCACTTCTCCTGTTATCGAATCTGTAGGCAGAGGATTTCCCATAGTATTTTAAAAGTCCTTTTAATGTCTATAGGACTCATAGTGATGACTCTTCTTTTATTTCTGGCTTTAGTAATTTGTGGGGTTTTGTTTTGTTTTGTTTAGTTTTTCTTTGTAAGCCTGGCTCAAGGTTTACAATTTTATTGATCGTTGGTTTCATTGGATTTCTCTAGTGCCTTCCTATTTCAACTTCATTAATTTTTCCTTCCTTCCTTCCTTCCTTCCTTCCTTCCTTCCTTCCTTCCTTCCTTCCTTCCTTCCTTCCTTCTTTCCTTTCTTTCTTTTTTTTCTTTTTTCTTTTGGCACCGGGGATTGAACTCAGGGGTGCTTTACTGCTGAACTACCTCCCCAGCCCTTTTTATTTTTTAATTTTGAGACAGGTCCTTGCTAAATTGCTGACCTGGCTTGAATTTGTAATCCTCTTGGCTCAGCCTCCTGAGTCGCTGGGATTATAGGTGTGTGTGTGTCACTTTTCCCAACTTCAATTTCATTAATTTCTATGTTAATTTTTATTGCTTGTTTTCTTCTGCTTGCATTAAGCTTCAGTTGCTCTTTTTTTTCCTTCAATTTCCTCAGGTGGAAGCGTAGATTATTGATTGAGATCTTCTTTTCTTTTTGCAGTACTGAGGATTGAACCTAGGGCCTCCTTCATTCCGGGAGGTGCTCCACCACTGAGCTACATTTACAGCCCTTTTTATTTTATTTTGAAACAGGGACTCTCTAAATTGCCCCAGTTGGCCTTGAACTTGCAATCCTCCTACTTCAGCCCCTCAAGTTGCTGGGATTCCAGGTGTGTGCCACCATACCAGGCTCTTCCTTCCTTATATATGTATTCAATGCTGTACATTTCCTTCTAAGCATGTCTTTACTGTATTCCATAAATGTTGATAGTTAGGTTCTTATTTTCATTTAGTTAAAAATATTTAATTAATTAATTTATTTGGTACCAGGGATTGAACTCGGGGGTACTCAACCACTAATCCACATCCCCAGACCTATTTTGAATTTTATTTAGAGACAGGGTCTCACTGAATTGCTTAGTGCCTCACCATTGCTGAGGCTGGCTTTGAACTCACAATCCTCCTGTCTCAGCCTCCTGAGCCACTGGGATTAAGTTCAGAATATTTTAAAACTTATTTTGAGACTTTTCCTTTGACTCTTAGAACTGTGTTTTTAAATCTCTAAATAGTTTGGGATTTTCTAGCTGTCTTTCTGTTATTGCTTTCTAGTTTAATTCCATTGTAGTCAAATAGCATACTTTTTATGATTTCTATCCTTTTAAATTTGCTAAGGTGTGATTTGTGGCTCAGAATATAGCAAATCTTGGAAAATGTTCCATGTGAACTTAAAGAGTGTGTGTATTCTGCTGTCACTGAATGGAATATTACATAAGTGTCACTTAGATCAAGTTCATTGCTCCTGCTGTTCCAGTCAACTGCATCCTCACTGATTTTCACCTACTGAGAAATATTGACATCTCCAACAGTAGTGGGTTTGTCTATTTCTCACTGTCTTCAATCAATTTTTGCCTTGCATTTAAACTTTTTTTTAATTTGTTCTTTTTAGATATACATGACAGTAGAGTATATTTTGACATATAACACATATGTGGAGTATAACCTCTCATTCTTGTGGTTGTACATGATGTGGACTTACACTGATGGTGTATTCATGTATGAACGTAGGAAAGTTATGTCTGATTCATTCTACTGTCTTTCCTATTCCCATCCCCACTCCCTTCCCTTCATTCTCCTTTGTCGAATCCAATGAACTTCTACCTGCCTCTGCCCCTTATCATGTGTTGGTATCCGCATAGCAGAGAGAACATTTGACCTTTGGTTTTTTGGGGTTGGCTTATTTTACTTAGCATAACAGTCTTCAATTCCATCCATTTACTGGCAAATGCCAACATTTCATTCTTCTTTATGCCTCGCATGTTTTAATGCTACTTTGTTAGGAAATACAGAAATATCGAGGGAAAAGAATGAATGATAGGTGCAACCTATTTGCCAATGATTCAGGAAAAAAGAATCTATAGACAAACAGAAATTAGAAAATATACTTAAAAAAGTCATTATTTGCAACTTTTCTATAAGTGTGAAATCATACCAAGATGTTTTGCTTCTGCTTAGGACCTTTACCATCCTTTATCTTATGAGAAGAAATGAATATTAGTTACATTTGCCTTAAACTCATCCCTAGTTGCTCTTTGATAAGTGGATTTTTGATGAATATTTTAACATATAGATTGTGTATAAAAAGTTAGTTAGAATTTAATAGATACTACCTTCCAACAAGATTGTTTCAATTATGTCTACCCTTACACTTGCAATACATTTTTACACTAATCATGCCCACTTGAAATTACAAACTTCTTATGATCCTTTTTGGACGTTGCTCCCAGTTATTTCACTTACCCACACATTAGAATCATCCAGTCGACTTTTGCTGTTATTTACTTGAACAAATCACTGTTTCTTAGGTCATGTTAAAATAGGAAAAACAATTACTTGTATCAGCTTTTATTCCTTTTCTGATGCTCTCTACTTTAAGTAGATCTGAGTTTCTAACTCATCTCACATTTCTTCTTTATGAAGAGTTTCTCTTAATATTACTTGCAAGATAGATCACGTGGCAACAAATTCCCCCAGTTTCTGTTTCTTCATTTCTCTGTCACTGGCCAAGTTACTTTCACAGGTAATGGAAGTCTAGATTGGTGCTTTTCTTTTTTTTATCACTATAAACATTTTTCTCCCCTTTTGAGTTATGTCATTTTGTAACAGGGACTTTGAGGGTATTCTTGCTAAAGCGCTAACTGTTCAGCTGGGCTCATGGATGTCCAGTGGGTAACTGAGGCAGGGTCAAACTTGGTCTCTCTGCCCTCCTTTGGCCTCTCTCCTTTGCTAGCATGAACTTTGGGTCAGATTCCTGATCAAGTCTGCTGGTGGACCTATTAATCATTTAAAGAATGTTTGTTAAAGTTGGTGATCCCCTGCCTTCAAGGCTGAAGGCAGCAAGAAAAGAGAGATGAAGATAGTTTCAAGATTTGCAGGGGCGTGATGTCAACTGCCACCCGTACAACACCTTGTTCCAGACCACTGGACCAGCACCTAAAGACCTTGCACCTAAGCTGGACTCAGTCATTGTGTAATTAATTCCGTCTTGCCTTTCTCACTTAATTTTTTTTCCCCTCTGAGTCACTCTCTCTCGCCACATCCTGTCTCAAAATAAAATAAGAGGGGCTGAGAGTGGAGCTCAGTGGTAGAGCACCACTGGGTTCTATCCTGAGTACAGACAAAAAGAAGAAGGAGAGGAG